GGCATAGTGATACTGGTAGTCCCCAATTCTTACCATTCTAGGATGTGGGAGTGGATTTTTTTACAAAGCCTCCTTAGATGACCTGGTCAGTATGGGAATGGCCACTCCTATGCCCCAGCTATCCCCAAGCTTTTGATATTGTAGATACCATATCAAGAGTGAGGCTGTTCTGTATGACAGGCCTTTAGTTCGGTGGCATCTGTCCTCTAGAACTTCTTCCCACTGCATATCAGACAGGTGCCATCTCCATTATTTCGTTGGTGCCTGCTGGAGGTCTTAGTTTTCCAACAAGCCTTTCCAAGTGCATATATTCATGTCTGTCTGTCTGTCTGTCTATCTATATCTATCTATCTATATCTATCTATATCTATCTATATCTATCTATCATCTATCTATCTATCTATCTATCTATCTATCTATCTATCTATCATCTATCTATCTATCTATCTATCTATCTATCTATCTATCTATCTATCTATCATCTATCCCAGTCTGGATTTAAACTTGTTTTTAAATCTGCTTTTTGTTGGTGGTGTTTTTCTTGTTAAATCATTTTGGAAATTATTCATAAATTAAGTGAAATATATACATAAAGGGCAAAGCCATTTAAAGGAAGAGGAAACTTTTGGGCATCTGACAAGAGTGGCACAGGCATGCCAGAAGTGGGGGTAGGGCAAGGGGGGAGGGGCTGAGCAAAATCAACATTCTGCTTCACTGTCAGAGCAAGATTGGTTTCTCTTTCTTCATATTTGGCTCCCTCTACAAAAGAAAAGAGGGGGTGCTTCATGCAACCTTCCATTTATTCCACCCTGCTCTCCTTAGAACTGCACCAGCTGTTCTGTTTTATTCCCCAGGCAGGCCAATCTGCCCATTTTACTTAGCTTTTTAACAAAGCAGGGCGGGGGGATGGGGGACACAAAACAGAAACAATAATATGGTCAAAGAAAGCATCCCACATGCACACACTTCCTTTATAAATCTTATTTTTTTGGCCACAGTAAGGAATTGAGAAATCCCATCTGTTTTGGTGTGTCGTACCTGTTAGGCGGTTCTACCTAAGTCCACACCTGGCCCAAATATATATTCCTGGAGAACCAAACCCATCTCTCTCTGTAGAATTCTCCCCACCCTTTCCTTTGTATCCCTCATAATCCCTGCCCAGAATACAACACATGGGTTGCCTCAGCCAAGAGTCTGCCAATTCTGAGGGAAGGGAGACTTGGTTTTCAATCTACTTTGCTAAATTTTTGACTAATTGCTTTTTAGCACACTTCCTCCGCCAGTATCTTCACAGCTTAACATGGTCATTCCTCTGGGAGTCCCCCCCCCCCCCCGAGAAAGAAAGTAAAATCTAAATACATTCCTGTGATGTAATTGCTATTGGCCTTTGTAACAGATACTTCCTCCCCCACCAACAACTGCTTTAATCAAAGTTTTAAGATTAATGAAAATCAGGAGGATAAACTGAGATTCTATAAACAGTTTAAGAAGCCAGAGAACTGGGCATGGTATAACCCATAAATAGTGTAGCTAGAAAACCCATTGTTTTAGGACAGTTCCCACTGTATTTTTCTCTATGAACATCAGATCTGGAAGGCACCCAAATGGTGCTCTGTGGTGGGTGGACACTTCCATATGGAAGTATGGTGGACATACAAATGAACCACAATGGGAAACAACTGGGTGTGACTGAAACACCATGTTCCCCCCTCAAAAAGAGCAGGTATGCTGGTGGCAATGGGTGCAGTTTACTAGCTTTAGCTGGCACAGCAATGATGTGATGTCGTTCTTCCTGACAAAGGGCAGACCTTTCCACGATCATTCCAAACCCTAAAAAGGCAGTGGTGTTGCACATCCCAAGTTCTCACATCCAGGAGATGGGAAAGTGCCCTGCCCTGGATGGATGCAGTGCTTCATCCTTCCTACACCAACATATTCACTCACCTCCATGCAATTCAAGTTTGCCTATGGTTACCAGGCTACTGAAGAAAAACAAGTTAGGCTTAAACAGAGAATAACGCACCACTTCTCAATATGCATATTCTGAGCAAAACAAAACAAAAAACAACACAGTTGCGTCACACTCCACAAGTGACAGGACAAGTAAACTTTATATTTTCCCTTGAGAACATTCAGCAAGCTTCATGGTTCCTTTCTAGAATCACCTGGGATCTTCAGAAGCACACATTTCAGACATCAGCTATCCTTGTTTAAGTCCCAAGTCAATTGGGTATCATAAAAGGGATTCCAAGTTCTCCAGAAGCTTTCTGCACAAACATCTTTTCATTTTGGCAAATCCAGCTTTGCCCCCAGCGTCTCAATCTCATGACTCACCCAGAAATTTCAATCAAGTAGAACTGGGAAAGTCAACAACCAAAATTTCAGTGTTGTGTGACGTGTCCATGTGTTATCCATTAAGGCACTTTATGGAGTGTTTCTCTGGAAACCCCAGTTCTCTCCTCTCTGGAGGAAACTAAGGTCTCCAGAGGAAAACCTTGATGCAGAGTTTGCAACAGTGTGGAGATGAATTGCAATTGTGGAACACTTTGGAGATTTTGTGAAGAGTTGCAGGATCTTGCCAGCCACTGAACTCAGGACTTGGCATGTGGAGCCAAGCCCAGACAGGAATTTGTATAAACTCAGAGATGACTACTTGCAACATCTGTAAATAGTGTAAGTATAAAGAGTATATGTTAGTGTTGGCCTAGTAAAGATAACTGCTACACACCTGTTTCCCGAGGTGAGCTTAACCATTTTATTCAGCTTCTGTGGTGCGCACACACAACTCAAAACAAAAAATATAATATTGAGTAACTGGTCTGGGGAACTGAGGCAAATACAGCAACAGTTAAATGATTAAGTGCCCATCTCTGAGCAGGCCCTAAGTTCCCTTGCACATCATCTCTACCCACCCCCCATTTCCTTTAGCCCAAACTTCAGCAGAGGGTCACCCCAGAACAGGGGGACAGATTAGTGCTGTCCTCTTAAACTTGCTCTCATAAGTGAAGTTTTAGAATCGGTTTTATGAGCCAAACTACCTATGGGTGGTCTTCTTGCATGCTTGAAAAGCCACTTCAAGAGGACAGGACTGAGAACATTGGGTGGGAAATGGGTAACTGGCCACATTTCTACCATCTAAAGTCACCCCTATCTACATAAGAACACAGCAAGGTGCCTTATATTAAGTCAGACTCTGGTCCATCTAGCTGAATATCACCTGCAATGACTGGCAGCGGCTCTCCAGGGTTTCAGGACAGGAGCATTTCAATCTCTACCTGGATATGATGGGGATGGAACCTGGGATTTTCTGCATGTGAAACAGATGCTCTGAGCTACAATGCTTCTAGGGCCAAAATAGTCGCTTTTTGAAGATGAAAAGGTATGTCAAGCAACAGTCACAGGTGCTTCGTCGTTTGCTTTCTATTGCACTTCTATCCCACCCTTTCCTCCAAGGAGTACACCTTGGAGTACATGTTTCTCCTCTCCATGTTATCCCCACAAGAACCCTGTGAGGTAGTTTAGATTGAGAGGTGGTGACCAGCCCAAAGACACCCAATGAGCTCATGGCTAAGTGGGGATTTGAACCCCAATCTCCCAGTACTCTAACCCAGCACTCCCACCACAATGGCTCCCATGCAGTGTTCACATGTAATGTGTAGTTTGACCCAATGCCAGCATAACTGTCAGCTTGACACAGATAGGAAAAGACCCAGACAACCAGTCACAGATCTAATTTCCTTAGATCTACTGGAGACCTATTCCAAAAATACACATTTTTAACTGAATCATAAAACCCTGCTTGCAGGAGCAGAGCAAAGTGACTGTGATTCTCCCAAAACAATTGTAATCTTCAGATTTAACTGTCAAGGCACAGGAGCTGCAGGTATCAATGCTCGAGAGAGACAGCGCAAAGAGTGCAATTATTATTCCCTGCTCTCCTATTTGAGTGCACTGGCTCCCAAGTACGCCAAGGTCAGGAGAGAGATGTGGCAAAAAGGTTTTCCTTTTCATTAGGGAGAGGCAGGAATACCTCACATTGTAACAGCAAAAGGTCGTCACAGTAAAAAGACTGGCAAAGCAAAGATGAATGCAGCAGCTGAAGATCAGAAAAGAGCTGAATGAAATTACAAGAAGTGAAATCAACATGCATCTCTCTTAACCAAATTATCTCTTCATTCCTAGAGTCCCACTGAGCATCTCATAGATATTTCAATTCACATCCTCTCTTCATTAGCAAATATTAACTGCCTGAGGGTGTCAAGAGTTAAAAGAGTATATAGTGCATTTCTATTTCCTCCTTTCTTCCAAAGGGCTTAGGGCAGTGTGACCACAGCTTTGTTCACCACTCCTTTTATCCTCACAAAAACCCTTGTAAGATACGATAGTCCAGTGGTTCCCAAACTGGGTGGCACTGCCCCCAAGGGATGAAGGGGTGGTGGGATTATTGGGGGCTGCTAATAAGTAAGAGGGATGCGGGTGGCGCTGTGGTCTAAACCACCGAGCCTCTTGGGCTTGGTAATCAGAAGGTAGGCAGTTCGAATCCCCATGAAGGAGTGAGCTCTCGTTGCTCGGTCCCAGCTCCTGCCAATCTAGCAGTTTGAAAGCACAAAGTGCAAGTAGATACATAGGTACCGCTCTGCTGGGAAGGTAAACGGCGTTTCCGTGCACTGCTCCGGTTTCACCAGAAGTGGCTTAGTCATGCTGGCCACATGACCCGGAAAAACTGTCTGAGGACAAACGTTGGCTCCCTTAGCCAGTAAAGCAAGATGAGTGCCGCAACCCCAGAGTCGTCAGCAACTGGACTTAACTGTCAGGGGTCCTTTACCTTTTTAATAAGTAAGAAGGGCAGCAGGGGGAGCTGGAGGTGCAAATTAATATCAGGCTCTGCAAAGCTGGCTTTCCCAGAGCAGAGTTTGTACTCCAAGAGCTGTGACAGCGGCAAATTCAACAGGAAGATACTATGCAAATGTGAAATGTTTGCAACATCTTTGCCGACTTACCATGGAAGCAGTCCTCAGTAAGAAATACCCATAGGCTTGTTTAGAAGCATTCCCTTCTCCCCAGCTGGTCTCTAACACTCCTAGGAACAGTGCTAGGAACACAGGAGATCTGCAAACAACATCAAGAGAAGGAATGGATTAAGAACAAATAATGCAAAGGCTTGGGTGGGTGAAGCAACATGAGAGAGATCAGCACAGTGGAACAAAAGCAGTTTGCAATTAGTGACTGCTTCAAGCAAAGAGGCAAAGCCCCAGCTCCATGATAACAGAATCTGTGATCTTCTCATTCTAACTACTAAAACACTCACTTGGTGTGTTGATTTGTTTAGGTTAGAAAGCAGACAAAGAGAATCAAACATAAAAGCCTAAGTAGTGAGCTTTCTTTGGGCAGAAATGGGCATGATGGTATGCCACTGAAAATGGCAGCCCTGTGTTGGGTTCTCCCTCTCTTCATGTAGAATAGGTGCCATGGACTGGAAAGACATGCACGCAGGCACAGTCTCCAATTGCTTGGAACAAGCCCTGGAAAGGAGGGGACTTAGCTAAGGGGAGGTGGGGACTTTCAGTTTTGGAGTCAGACCCACTCTATTTAATGGAGTCAGACCCACAGGGAATGAGCTGCTGTGCTCATTAGACCTGATGCTCAGCCAAGTCTGATTGTGTTTTTGCTGCTGAGGAGTAAATTCCAACTTTGAACTATGCGTGATTTACTGACTGACACACTGTGACAGTAGACTGATCCAGGTTGTGAAATCAAGACATGGTGCCTTTTTTAACACTCCACATTGCTGGTGTTGTGACCTGCCACCTGTGCTGCTTACTTGTTTACCTGCCTGCTCTGTCATCACCCTGGAGTTGCTGTGGCCACCTATTGGCAGAGACGTGAACTACAGCATGGCAGCCTTACAACAGCAGGATAAGGTGGTATAGAAATACTTTTATAAATAAACAATGCACTTAAGATTGTGAACTGAAGCCTGATGTCAGAGCATGGGAAGCTGGCATGTACAGACACTGTGGGTTAAAGACACAATTCTGTCATATACACAAGATCTGCTCTCAGGAATCTACATGTCCTACATTTCACACTCTCCCAAAATTCTGAATTCTATCATACACAAATTAAACACATGCTCACTTTGCAGTTCCCATTAGCATGAAGAGAGAAAGCAGAGGACTGCATATGATGTTTTAAGTGCATTATACAAATGTGACACTAGATGTTGATGGTGAGCTTATGACAAATTCATTTTCATAGCTTTTTTATGTGTCTAGATTCCACCATAATCAGCCATCATTGCAGGGGTTGGACTAGATGACCCTTTGGGGTCCCTTCCAACTCTACAATCTATGAGACTATGAAAGGGGGAGTACCATTGTACTCAGGTCCTTGCTGGGGGATTCCCATGCCTTTGGTTGACCACTGTGGGAATTAACTAGATAGGGTTTAGTCTGACTCAACAGAGCTCTTCTGGTGTCTTTAAATGGCAGCAAGAAGCAAGTAAGGGTCTCAGGGGTCAGTGCTAAGGCAGTTAAGGCAGAGAACAGATAGAGGGCTACTCAGAAAGGCCACCGTTGCCTAGGCAAAGTTCCAGTCTGAGCAGGAGGCCCTTGTAGTCCTTCCTGTTAAGGAGAGCCAGTGGCTGACCTGGATGGACGTAGTCACTCCAATACCTGGAAACCCTTCCACTATCCAGGGAGATATTCCAACTTGCAGGCGGGTATAATGCCTCGCCACACAGGGCACTCGGGGAGGGAGATTCAGACTTCCCAGTTCTTCCAGCAGCTTTGGACAGCTGCTATCTTTGGAAATAAATAAGAATTTGCAAAGCTGAATTTCTCACAGCGCCATTTAACGAACCAGACACTAAATTCTGTGTGCGGTGTGAGAATGGCCACAAGAAATACATGCAACCCTCTCTGCAGCCCATGAAAACACTTCTTAGTTCTGAATGTATTTTATTTCCTCAATAACCTGGGGAGTTCAAGGCATCACTTTTGTTTTACGGAGGAGTAGTTCAAGTACAGATGTAATGTTTGAGAGATCTATTCAGATAGTGGGATACAAAGCTGAGCTCCAGTTTAAATGCAGCCCTCTTAGCTTAAAAATGGAAAGGAAGAAAAAAGAAACCTAGCACCTTACCTAGGGCTGCTATATTTAAAAGGGGTGTGTGAGAGAAAGATTTGGGGATGTTTTGTTCCTGTAAAGAGGGGGGCCTGCATTCCTGATTTTCCCATTGTGGACACCAAAATATGAAAAGGCAGCTCTTGAAATCCCAATTATTTAGCCCATTGGACTTATTGGTGGGAGAAACAGAAGAAACATAAATGGCAATTGTGAATTATAAAGCAGCAAGTGCTTGTTTATTGTTAGAAGGGGGGTGCTACCTCCTCAAAGTAAAATGCATTTGCCAATTTTTACTGTGTATGAAAATAAAAAACAGGTTTAAAGGAGGGAGACAGAGCGAGAGAGAAAGAGAGCAATAAACCAAAAGTGCCTAATTATTTATACAAGCATCTTAATAAAAATGAGGAAACCTGCAGAGTAACTTTCTGTGTCGATTGATAAAGCTGGCTCCCACCCTCCAAAAAAGAGGAACTACACCAGGTGCCCTAATTAACAATCCCGGAGAGGATTTCTGCGCACAAACACAGACAGACACGGCTTTATGAACACCTTTTGCACTCCTATGCTGTGTACTCCCATTAACCCTCTGTGCTGCTCTATTTACAAGTCATTTCCACTGTGCATATTTCCCAATGCCTCGGAGAGCAGGCGCAGCTGTAATGCAGCACTCAGAGGCAAAATAACTGCTAACTGAATGCAGGGCTGGGTGGATAAATTCTTCTTTGGGGAACTTCCTCCTGTCCCACTATGTCTTCCAGTGAGAGAAGGAGGGTGCAGAAGGGTGTGGAAAGCAGGCTGCTTCTACTCAAGCAGGCTACATGTCACTGCATGAGGATATCATTGGCATTAATAGATGTTTGCATTAGATTTCAGGGAGTCTTTTCACTGCTCCACACTAAGAAAGCAAGCTTTACCAGTGTATTTTGTCTTGTGTTACAACATGGGCTTCAACTGATCAAACTGCTGCCCGACATAACATATGTGACCAAACTGCCTAATGATGAGCTATCATCTTTTCTGACAAATCAGTGCACATACCTTTTGAAAGCCTTTCAGTGCAGCATCAATGCCTTGCAGCAGGCACTGCATGCATGTGTGAGAGGGAGAGAGGGAGACCCTGCAGGATTTTTATTCCAGCTTCTTTCTCAAAAGGATTGGGGTAGGAGAGAGAGGTTTTCAGTCTTTCCTCTCTGCAGACAAACACTCTATTAAAATACATTAAAAGCTACTGCCTACTAATTTGCTTCTGCCTTTAAAGCATTCTTATAAAAAAAAGTCAACACACAGAAATTTCAACAGCTGGCACAGAAGTGCTAAAGTAACAGTTATTTGTCTAGCAGCAACACTGGGGAAAGGGCATGGTAATAACATAATGCACAATTGCGGGGGGGGGGAGGGGAACCTCTATAAATTTCATTATGGACCAAAAATATCTACTTCCAGCTTAGCACATCAAGGATGTCACAAACACCTTGTATAATCTCTTCCATCAGCAGCACTAAACCTCTCCAAACCTCTCATTTGGCAAGTCATTATATCTCTGCTGCTCCCCAAACCCCACCCACCCAAAAATCAATTTGTTCATTATAATTACTTTATTAGTGCAGATGCTTTGATGACTTGACTGGCATTCAATGTTAGTCCTACTTAGAGTAGACACAATGAAGTTGATTCATTATTTTCATTGGGTCTTCACTGAGTAGAATTTAATTTAATTGCATAGGCTATAAATTGTATAGGCTATAAATTGTATAGAGGAAACAGCAGAATATCTTTATCCTCTGTTTCCAACCTTTCTTGAGGACCATTGCTTTTCTCCCAAGAAGCAGCCGTCTTTTAATTTCGTGGCTGCTGTCACCATCTGCAGTGATCATGGAGCCCAAGAAAGTAAAATCTCTCACTGCCACTATTTCTTCCCCTTCTATTTGCCAGGAGGTGATGGGACCAGTGGCCATGATCTTCGTTTTTTTGATGGTGAATATGGTCTGAAGCTCAACATCAAAAAAACGAAGATCATGGCCACTGGTCCCATCACCTCCTGGCAAAGAGAAGGGGAAGAAATGGAGGCTGTGAGAGATTTTACTTTCTTGGACTCCATGATCACTGCAGATGGTGACAGCAGCCACAAAATTAAAAGACGCCTGCTTCTTGGGAGAAAAGCAATGACAAACCTAGACAGCATCTTGAGAAGTAGAGACATCACCTTGCCAACAAAGGTCCGTATAGTAAAAGCTATGGTTTTCCCAGTAGTGATGTATGGAAGTAAGAGCTAGACCATAAAGAAGGCTGATCGCCGAAGAATTGATGCTTTTGAATTATGGTGCTGGAGGAGACTCTTGAGAGTCCCATGGACTGCAAGAAGATCAAACCTATCCATTCTTAAGGAAATCAGCCCTGAGTGCTCACTGGAAGGACAGATCATGAAGCTGAGGCTCCAATACTTTGGCCACCTCATGAGAAGAGAAGACTCCCTGGAAAAGACCCTGATGTTGGGAAAGATGGAGGGCACAAGGAGAAGGGGATGACAGAGGACGAGATGGTTGGATGGTGTTCTCGAAGCTACCATCATGAGTTTGACCAAACTGCGGGAGACAGTGGAGGACAGAAGTGCCTGGCATGCTCTGGTCCATGGGGTCATGAAGAGTCGGGCACGACTAAGTGACTAAACAACACAATGCAATACAGTAAAAGCTTTAATATTTGTAATTTCCAAACTACTTATTTAAAATGCCTTTCTGGGTTAACACACATACCACATGAGTATCCTCTCTTTTTTAAAGTCAGTGTTTAGCTGCTAACCTAAAATGTGATTTTTCAGGAGGAATAATTCACACACAAGGTGAATTCCTTCATTAACAGCATGCCTTCTATGAAATTTAGAAACATTTAAAACAAGTAGGTTAATGAAGCAACGAAATGCGAACTAGCTGATTAATACAAACTTCCAAAGCTCAGTGAGACAACAGCTATTTGGAACTCAT